ACAATAGGACGAGCTCCGGGCCCCCAATAGAGTGCAATTGTCTGCAGTCAGATCAACTGCACGGGCCTAACAGCTACCAGAAATATTGGAGATTGAATAAAATTAGGTCCGGCATCATATTACTGAGGTTGCGCCGCTTCCAGTGATATAAGGGTTCACAGCAGTATCTTTAAAAGTAGAATAGAACTTCGGCATTTGAACTAATATTTGAACTCTCCTCGGGAGCGTATCACTCGGATCAGGAATTTTACCTTTGCATGTGATAGAAGAAAGATGCCCGGAGGTGCAATGCCCAATTTGATCAATATAAAAAAATAATAAAGTGTTCAAAGACTCGTTCAAAAAGTGCTTACTTTCCTATTACAGAAAAGGGGAGATTGTTCGGCGGTTTTTATATTGTGAACCACCTATGCACCCGCGCGGTTCCCTTCTCTTTCCACTGATACTTTTATTTTTTCTCTACGATGAAAATTGTAGAAATTAAAGTTCGAATAAGTAGATGTGGCAATTTGAATGGTCCTAATTTCCTCGCTCACTCGTCGGCTGGGGCCAGCCGTCGCTGCGCTGGCTTCTCTCGCAGGAGCTCTCCGGGCCCAGGCGGTGCGGCGGCCGGCCACTGCACCGGACCCCTCCGGACCACTCCGCCACGCCGCCGAAAGGACAGCGGCTCGGCCACGGCATTGTTTGGCCTCAGCTGTCGTAAACCCATCACTTCGACACGTCCGCCGGCTATCCTCCTGACGTAGTACCGCACACTGCCACCCGCGCCACCAGGCGGCCCCCTCCCTTCTGACCGCGAGTTTTAAATGCGACAAAGTGACACCAAAAAAGGCTCTTCGTATTCGAACTCTCGTTTGAACAGTTTTTGTCGCAGGACAAAAGTAACGATATCAGTGGGTAGGGGAAAGACGCCCGCAGGTGCAATAGTGTATGAGAGGAGACAAAAGTCAAACCATCAATATTTTTATTGAAAACGAAAAATATGCACTTTTTGAACGAGGTTTTGAACACTTTATTTGTTTTGGACAACGATGGGATTGGGCATTGCACCTCCGGGCATCCTTCCTCTATCACATGCCAACATAAAATTACTGATCCGAGCGATACGCTCTCGTGGAGAGTTCGACAAAAAGGCCGTGTTTTAACAATTTTAACGTTAAATATCTCAGCTTGTATTTGAGCCAGCGAGCCCAAATTTTATATTTAGAGTCAAGACGTGGCACAGAACGGCCACATAAAATTTCATCAAAATCGGACAACTTTTATTTACGAAAGGTCCCCCCTTAAGTGACGAAAAGTTTTCGTAAGTGATAATTTACGAAACACTTCGTAATGTTACAAATACATTTCGTAACGAAATGCAAATTTTTGTGTCATTAGTCATGAAAGTTAGCCAAAAGCTTTTGTATTTTCCAAAGCAGTTCGTAATTTTTTTTGTTTAAAACAAAGGTTTCGTAAATGAAAACTAACTGAGAATAATTCGTAAAATATTGTTAATTTTGTTTTCAGTGGTTTACAGTATACATTTTACGTGTGGGGACACGTGCACCTACAGGTGCTGGGGTTAGGAACTCGTGCACCGGCGTGTAGGGCAGACGATCCTCATCCTCGCTCGGAAATACTCCATCTGGTCGAAGACGCTATGAGCGACTCGGCAGGTCCAGGGGTATGTCCGCCTCTCCATA